GACCTATAAGCATCCGACCTTGCGACCTATTAACCAATCAAATCGCAGAATTACAGTATCATAAAATTTCTATTTATTGATACAATTGGCGAAATTGAAAATTTTTATTAATAAAATTCTTATAAAGGATCTTAACTACTACATCCATTGTCTTAGATTTAAAATCGCTACTGATATTGTAAATATCCATTGAGAAAATAGTAAAGATTTTCAAATACAGTATTATTCGATTGCAATAGTTTATTAAGACTAAAGTTTAAATCGCCACTGATATTGTAGAGGTAATAAAGTACGGTATTATTTGATTGCAAATAGCTCATTAAGACTTAAATGGTTAAGATTCTTACTAGTTAACCCGAAAAAAAAAAAGAATTAATCCATATGTATGCGATTTGAAACATAAAGAAGAAATACTTATCTGCTGCATTCCAAAATCGACTCTAGAACTCAAGACCTGAAGTAGAATTCTCATAAAGGATCTTTACTACTACATCTATCATCTTAGATTTAAAATTGCCACTGATATTGTATACATTTATAGAGGTAATAGTATTGTTCTCTAGAGATTTTCAAGTACGATATTATTTGATTGCAAAATAGCTCATTAAGACTTAAATGGTTAAGATTCTTACTAGTTAACCCAAAAAAAAAAAAGAATTAATCCATATATATGTGATTTGAAACAAAGAAAAGAGATACTTATCTGCTGCATTCCAAAATTGACTCTAGAACTTGAGACCGAAGTAGAATTCTTATAAAGGATCTTTACTACTACTACGTCTATTGTCTTAGATTTAAAATTGTTACTGATATTGTATACATTTATAGAGGTAATAGTATTGTTCTTGTAGAGATTTTCAAGTACGATATTATTTGATTGCAAATAGCTCATTAAGATTTAAATGATTAAGATTCTTACTAGTTAACCCGAAAAAAAAAAGAATTAATCTATATGTATACGATTTGAAATGTAGAGAAGAGATACTTATCTGCTGCATTTCAAAATTAACTCTAGAACTCAAGACCCGAAGTAGAATTCTCATAAAGGATCTTTACTACTACTATGTCTATCATCTTAGATTTAAAATTGCCGCTGATATTGTATACATTTATAGAGATAATAGTATTGTTCTCATAGAGATTTTCAAGTATGATATTATTTAATTGCAAATAGCTTATTAAGACTTAAATGGTTAAAATTTTTACTAGTTAACCCAAAAAAAAAAAAATTAATCCATAAGTATACGATTGAAACAAAGAGAAGAGATGCATTCCAAAATCGACTCTAGAACTCGAGACTGAAGTAGAATTCTCATAAAGGATCTTTACTACTACTATGTCTATTGTTTTAGATTTAAAATTGCCACTAATATTGTATACATTTATAGAGGTAATAGTATTGTTCTCTAGAGATTTTCAAGTATGATATTATTTGATTGCAAAATAGCTCATTAAGACTTAAATGGTTAAGATTCTTACTAGTTAACCCAAAAAAAAAAAAGAATTAATCCATATATATGTGATTTGAAACAAAGAAAAGAGATACTTATCTGCTGCATTCCAAAATTGACTCTAGAACTTGAGACCGAAGTAGAATTCTTATAAAGGATCTTTACTACTACTACGTCTATCGTCTTAGATTTAAAATTGTCATTGATATTGTATACATTTATAGAGGTAATAGTATTGTTCTTGTAAAGATTTTCAAGTATGATATTATTTGATTGCAAATAGCTCATTAAGACTTAAATAGTTAAGATTCTTACTAGTTAACCCAAAAAAAAAAGAACTAATCCATAAGTACACAATTAAAACGAAGAGAAGAAATACTTATCTGCTGCATTCCAAAATCGACTCTAGAACTCAAGACCCGAAGTAGAATTCTTATAAAGAATCTTTACTACTACGCCTATTGTCTTAGATTTAAATTGCCACTGATTGTATATATTTATAGAGATAATAGTATTGTTCTCATAAAGATTTTCAAGTATGATATTATTTGATTGCAAATAGCTCATTAAGACTTGAATGGTTAAGATTCTTACTAGTTAACCCAAAAAAAAAAAAGAATTAATCCATATATATGTGATTTGAAACAAAGAAAAGAGATACTTATCTGCTGCATTCCAAAATTGACTCTAGAACTCAAAACCCGAAGTAGAATTCTTATAAAGGATCTTTACTACTACGCCTATTGTCTTAGATTTAAAATTGCTACTGATTGTATATATTTATAGAGGTAATAGTATTGTTTTCATAGAGATTTTCAAGTACAATATTATTTGATTGCAAATAGTTCATTAAAACTTAAATAGTTAAGATTCTTACTAGTTAACTCAAAAAAAAAAAAATTAATCCATAAGTATACAATTGAAATGAAGAGAAGAGATACTTATCTGCTGCATTCCAAAATCAACTCTAGAACTCAAGACTGAAGTAGAATTCTTATAAAGAATCTTTACTACTACTATGTCTATCGTCTTAGATTTAAAATTGCCACTGATATTGTATATATTTATAGAGGTAATTATATTGTTTTGTAGAGATTTTCAAGTATGATATTATTTAATTGCAAATAGCTCATTAAGACTTAAATGGTTAAGATTTTTACTAGTTAACCCAAAAAAAAAAGAATTAATCTATAAGTACATGATTGAAATAAAGAGAAAAGATACTTATCTGCTGCATTTCAAAATCGACTCTAGAACTTGAGACCGAAGTAGAATTCTTATAAAAGATCTTTACTACTATGTCTATTATTTTAGATTTAAAATTGCCACTAATATTGTATACTGTATATCCATAGAGGTATAGTCATCTCTCCAAATGCACACTTAAATGCTGGCCCAAATAGAATAAGAAGATATAGTAAATTCTATGTTCTGCAATATAAAAGCTAGGTTAATCCACCTGTGTTCAACCATTTGTGCCAAGTAGATGATACTCTATAAAAGTTAAATATTAGACATTTGAGTGAATAACCGTTATTATTACACATATTTGTCATCAATTTTATTAAAATCACGAATTAATTAAGATATCATTCATCATTGCGGCATAGCCGCAATGATGAATGATATCTTGATTGATTTGTGATTTTAATAATGTTTATAATAAAACGGGAATAACCATTACATATATCCTATATACTGTGATAACACTATAGTTCATATTAAGTATCTATTAAAAGATCATTACATATTTATTGAAAAAAATAATTACAAAATGATTTGTTAACCATCCTCTCTCTAATTACTTTTTTTTGAACATTTAGGTCTATAATACCTGTACTCGCTACAATTCCCACATTGGTTTTGACGTTTGGCCAGCTTTAATTCTTCTGATCGCTTGATTCACTTGGAACTTTTTAGACGTTCTTTCGTCTTACGTTTTTTTGAATATTGAAGAGGTATATTAACTAATGAATTAGTTTCTTCACATTCTTCATTGTCATCTAAGCTATTACTGCACACATCCTCATTACTATCATTGGCTAGGCTGTTTACTAATTCTTCTTCCTGAATTTCAGTTAATAAATTTTGTGGTTTTTCAAGAACATCTTGTCTATGAAGTTGAACTGCCTTTTGCATGATATTTCGTGCAACTTCCCATAATTCTCCATATAGCTTTCATTCATTAATATTTTCCTTTCTTTCATCCTGGAGATTAGTCGGTATAAACAATTTATTTATATCAGACCTTGTAAATTCTGTAGGTTGATCTTGAGAACGATTCTTGCTAAAACATATAGTGACATAATAAGGCTCTTCTTGTAAATCGCTATAAATATCCTTGTACCATCTTTTATGAATATATGTAATATGGAACACAGCTATATGACTATATAACATCATCTGAAAAAAGTGATGGCAAACTATCCCACAATTTACAAGCCCCAAACAAAAGCATATATAAGTCTTATCAGAAAGAAGAATAACAAAATGTCAAAATGTCAAAGCCATAATTATGCGGATAGCCCAGATTTCCTTTATTTTGTCAATATCTATATTTTCCAATATATACTTAATGGAAATTTGCATAATATCTTCGTTATCTTCTACAAACGAGATACTATCTGACCCGGGCTTAAATATATTAAGATTCTGTAAGTTAAGTATCATTTTGCAAAATTATATCTAAAAGAACAATATAATACATACCACTTGATATTTAATCATTTCATCTTTTGTGACAGCAGATGCATGATAATTTAGGCAACTTTTAATTTCAGCATGCTGAATTTTTTGTATTTCAGACATAATAAACCGACTCAAAGCCTTATCGAGTTCAGAAAATAATATTTGTGATAATGTAGTGGCAGATGACATCAATGGAATTCGCGTCTTCCAATAAGCATACTTTGCTTTTTTAATCTCTTCTTCTATATTTGCTTCCAAGGCTTCAGCAAGTTCGAGTAGGCTAATATTAGAGTTTAAAACCAGCCTTTTGACTTGAGCATTGTAACTCTCAACATGAGACGTCGATTATATGCCAGTAGTGAAGATCTTTGTGGTATAAGCATGTACCTATACTTTTTTTAAAGAATACAATGTTTTTAGATACTTTACTACTCTAGGCTCATTATATTTCTTAATCAACTGTTTCTATTTTTGTTCAAAAACTTCCAGAACAAGAGAATTTCTAGCAGTGTAAAAATCTTGAACGAACTCCTGATACTGTTGACCCAACTTAGCCTTAAGATTTCGAGAAAGGTTTTGTGATATATGGAATATACAATGTATGGCATAAGATTGTTCATACTCCTCAGAGATTGCAAGATCCAAAGCCAAATTGATATCAGTCATAATAATAGCAGGCACATAGCCTCCAGTAGCTTGTTTAGTCTGACATAAAACCTACTAATACAAATCTGCTGACTCATCATTCATAAGCACACATCCAACTAGTTGAGAAGACCTATGATTGTCAACACATAAGAAAAGTGAGAGGGCCATATCATATTGATTTGTTTTTGCAGTATTATCATTAAGTATAATATCACAATACTCTATCCAAAGAATAATCTGATCAGGAAACATCCAAAATAGTTTTTGAAGGCTATGTGATTCTCGGTCCCATTCAATTGCAATATACCATCGAGGGTCTTCATTTTTTTTCTTATTAATTCTTTGTACAACAATGCAGCATCATTTGACATATCCTTTCATTTACCACTATAATATTTCACTGTTGCTTTATAAATTTCAGAAAGGTAAACTTCATGGTCAAAAAATTCTTTCCATAAAGTCCTCTGAATTTGTAGTGGCTTTAGCTTAACAGTATTCATATAAAATTCTACCCTTTTATACATTTCTTTGGTAAGTTTACTATCATTAAAAAATTTTGTTCTACAAAGTGACAATTCATGATTATAGTCATTGTCTAAAGTAGTAATATAAACCATTAGAATTATTCTTTTGCGGTTGTGACAAATTTACATGTCATGGGTATTTGATATATTTTGTGCTTGTTTCTTTAGTCAATTGTGTGCTTTTAGGTTTATATTTGTCACTGTGTTCACACAACATTGTTCTTTTACGTATAGATCTACTAGAAGTCTTCTCAATACGTTCCTTCCTTAGCTTAAATTCTTCATATTGAGAATAAAGTTCTAATGTGTCAAATGCTTCTTCCCAACTTTGAAATATTATTCCTTCGTATAGCTTCTCTTTCAATCTGATGTCTTTATTTTTTTGAACAACAATTACAGAATTACATGTTGGTCTATTAAATTCAAGATTGTATATCAGCTTATCAGACTCAAGATCATATGTTGATTCACAAAACTCAAGATTGC